TACTTCCATTGCCTTCTCTCCTAGATCATGGCTGCTTTTACACTGTGGTCATGAGAGTAGAAACAAAAGCCTCTATGGGCTGAAGTCAGCTTCATTTGAATATTGCTACCCTTTGTCTCTGAGGATGCTGGTGATTCACTCTCAGAAGTCATCTAAAACAAGAATCCCCTCTACAGTGATGTCATGTCTCTCCTCCCCAACAAGGGGTGGTCCAGCCTTTGTCAGTGAGTTAACAAGCATTTATTAAATGCCTACCATATCCTAAGTGCTGGGGATACAAAGAATGGCAAAAGACAGTCTTTGCTCTGAAGGAGATAATGGAAGAGACAACATGAAACAATTATATGGACAGGGCCACTTGGAGCTAATGTCAGAGGGGAGGCATCAGCAGTAAAGGGGAAGGGAAGGACTTTTGGCAGAAGGTGGGATTTTTAATTGAGACTTGAAGGAAGCCACAAGATAGAAATGAACAGGGAGAAAATTTGACCCGGAGAAAGCCATTTAAAACGTCTCCAGAATTTGGCTTAAGGAGGGAATACCATACACACTCAGTTGGGTATGGAAATCTATCTTACCCTACAGGAAAATAGGGGGAGGGCAGAATGGGGAAGGGGTAATCAGAAGCAAATACTTTTGAGGAGGGACAGGGTCAAAAGAGAGAATAGAATAAACTTGTGCCACGCCCCCCTCAATTCGAGGGATAGGATGATGGGAAATATAGTTAGTTTTCCACAACATGACTATTGTGGAAGTGTTTTGCATGACTACACATGTAGAACCTGTATTGAGTTGCTTACCTTCTCAGTGAGGGTGGGTGGGGTGGGAGAAAATTTGGAACCCAAAGTTTTAAAAATAAATGTTAAAAACAGTTTTCACATGCAACTGGGAAGTAAGATATACAGGAAATGGGGTATAGAAATCTATCCTGCCCTACAGGAAAATAGTAGGGGAAAGGGATAAAAGAAGTGGTGGGGGGGATAGAAGGGAGGGCAGATGAGGGGAAGGGGTATTCAGAATGCATGCTGTCTTGGGGTGGGGGGAGGGAGGAGATGGGGAGAAAATTTGGAACTCAAAATCTCATGGAAGTGAATGTTAGAAAGTAAAATTAATAAAAAAAGGAAAAACAAAAACATCTCCAGAATTGAGAAATAGAGTGTCTTTTTCAAGGAACAGCAAGGAAGCCAGTGTTCACCTACCTGATTGCAGAGTGTGTGGAGGGGGTTAAAATTAGAGAAGACTGGGAAGATGGGAGATCTGGGCTGGATTATAAAGGGCTTTAAAAGCCATAAAGAGGATTTTATATCTGGTCCTGGAGGTGATAGGAAGCCTCTGGATATTAATGAATAGAGGGGAGGACCAGGGCAGATCTGTGCTTTAGGGAGATCACTGACAGCCTAGTGGAGGATGGATTGGAGCCCGGAGAGACTTGAGGCAGGCAGGCCTGCTCCCAGGCTTTTGTAATACGTGACAAGGGTCTTCGGTAGAGAGGGGGCAGTGTCAGAGGAGAGAAGGGGGATGCATGAGAGAGACCTCATGGAAGTAGAAATGACAGGACTTGGTGACCCATTGGATATGGGCAACAAGGTGACAGGAGTCTAGTCTGAGGATCTGAGCTGCAGAATGAGATGTAGTTATGTGGTGGCTAGACTAGGAATACTTCCGTTTGTGGGGGCAGGGATTTGGTGGTTAGTGATAGGAAAAAAGAAGAGAAAGAAAAGGGAGTTAATTAAACATTTAAAAATACTCTGGAGAGAAGCCAGAGATTCACGGGATGATAGATAAGCTGGGCAGCTTTGTTGTTGTCATGTTAAATTGAATATGCATTTAAAAACCTCAATTTATACCTCAAGTTTAATAATCTTCTGTCCTTTGAATATTGAAATGTTCTTGGTTGTTGGTGTTTAAATTTGTAATAAAAAAGAACGTTCTTTCTTTCCTGGTGGGAGGAGAACCCATTGCTCCCCGAGGCAGCCTTTTGTATAGCTCTTAATTATTCAGAAGTATTCGAGAAAATCAAACCTAACTTTATTTGTTGCAATTTTTACCCATTAATCTTTAGTTCTTCTCTCTTCAGCTTAGCAGAATAATTCTTATCCCTTCCATTTGAAATCGATTTAAGTACTTGAAAGCAGCAGTCATTTCCTGCTAAGTATTCTCTTTGCCCAGTTCCTTTAACCAATCCACTGTGGAATTGTCTTGAGATTCTTCCAGGTAGTGGTTGGCCTAGTCTCTCTAGTTTATCCTGATGCAACATCTGATTCTCTAGGCTCTGGAACAAAGACCATACTGTTCCTTTAAGAGCTAAATGGAATATTTTGGAAGTGGCAGTTTTACTGTCAGTTTGGAGAGACTGTTGAGAGTGATGGCTTGAGGGGTACAATATGGAACAGTGGATAGAGCACCAGCCCAGGAGTCAGGAGGACCCAAGTTCAAATGTGGCTTCAGACACTTACTAGTTTGGTGACCCCGGGCTAAGTCACTTAATCCTGATTGCCTCCGAATTAAAAAAAAGAGTGATGGTTTGAGAGACTGAATTAACTTGTGCCATAACTGGAGAGAAACTAGAGAAGACAGAAAATGAATATAGAGATATCTTTTTTTCCTAATAAAATTATCATAACCCTTATTTTGCCAAAGGGATGAAGAACGAGTCTTAAAGAGGTGTTATTTTGCATCCTAAACAATGTAAATGGTGTGGGATTGTGTTCTAAGAGGTGGTTATCTGTAGTTGCATTGAGAAACCTCTGGTTGTGAACTTTTTCAGAGCTAAAATAAATAATTATCTCTATCTTGGCTTTGTTATCGATTTCAATATTAATACATTGTGTATTTAGTGCTTTTTAATAGTTTATTTATTCCTAAGAGATCAGGGGATTTAATAAAGAGATATGAGTAACCACTGTTGGGAAATGAGGTTTTTCTAGTTTAGTAAATATTTAATCATCAAGCAGGGGCTCAGAGCTTGGTTGGTTAAGTATGAGGTATGTTGAAACTTTATTTATGAAGATATCTATCAGTCAACATACCCCTAGATCACCTTAGACCTTGGGATAAGATTAAGTATGAATATGTATTTGTAACATAATTGGCTGGGATTAATTACACCATGATATGGAGGAGGGGAGCTTTAAACTGAATTATCAGAAGAATTGAGTTATAAAGCTTGGGAGTGGACATGATGCAGTGGAGCTAGACTTGGAATCCTGGCTGTGACACTATCTGTGGGACCTAAAAAATCACTTTTCCTCTCCAGACCTCAGTTCCCTTACCTGCAAAACGAGATGTTTACACCTCTACCGTTCCCTCTAGACCAAGAGCTATCTTAGGAGTGTCATTGATTAGCTCTGCAATGCTGAGCAAAATCATCTAACTTCCTTGTCTCACACTTTTCTCATCTGTAAAGTGAAAGAGTTGGCCTAAGTGATATTTGAAGCCTATCAGTACAGGAGTTGTGTTAAGTCTTTTTCTCTTGGGACTGTGCGTATCAATGAAGATCCTTGCTAAAATTTTTAAAAATCAGTAATAGTTGAACAATTAAGCTAAATGTTTCAGTTTTAAATCCAGCTTATGGACATTTCAATATGGCATCTGGCATGTGACAAATTACTTGCAAGATTCCAGAATTAAAAATAATTGCATTGTCATATCTGGCCATACCTGTTTTTATGGCAGAAAGCCTGGTTTTCTCAGGCGTGAATGAAACATGAATCATTCTTTGTTTTTTAGATCTAAAGTACTTCTCTAAAAAGATCACTTGATTGTAACTTATAAAGAGGAAAGTAAAAGGCACAAGAAGAGAGAACATAGAATAGTTTTTAAAATAGAACAAAACTTAACTGTTCCCAAAGTTCGATTATCCTGTTTCTGGTTGATCTTTGTCAGGCTGAATTCATGCTATTGAGACACAGCTATTTGAATTTTTGTTTAACTAGACGGACAGCTTTTCTACAGCATAAAGTGTCAGCAACAAACAAAATAGATGAATTGTATTGAAATGAACACTTTCACTGAAAGTACTTCAAAATTGTAAAGATGGTCTAGGCAGAAATCAATTCTAGTTTTTATTAAGAACACAGACACAGCCAACTTTCAGAAGTGAAATAACGACAACAAAGAAAAGTAGCACGTTTTTGTATTGTGTAAAACCAAAATTTATTTTTGGGCTACATTACAGAGGGGGCTTCATAAAAATTGCAATTAGTAGTGGTGAGAAGTGTTCATGCAAGCTAAGCAAACACTTTTGGGAGTCAGCAGAAAATGCTCACACAAAGCTGTTTTTCTACTCCCTTTTATTTGTGACACAGTAGAGAAAAGAGCACTGGGTGAGGAAGTCAGGGGGCCTGGATTCTAGTCCTGGCTCTGTCATTAACTGGCTGGGTGACCATGGGTGAATGAATCCCTCACTTAGAAGCCTTTATTCTTCCTCTGTAAATTAAGGGGCCTGGACCAGAGTTCCCTTCCAGCTTAACACTCCGTGGCTCTGTGACAGTTGGATTAGTGTAGGTTTAACTGTATTTTCTCCTTGGGGTTTGTAAGTTTGACTTTCACACTTAAAATTCTCAGACTGCTCTAAATGGAAAATCAATCTAATACTTTATTTGACCATATCCAGTTTCCCAAGAAAGGCACATTATGTACCTTCTTGTGAAGGATCCACTCCAAATCACACTCCAAACTAGATGGGGCATTAATAAGAACTGTGCTGAAGCGGTGTCAGTTTGAAAAAGTGACTCATTGTCTTAAGTTTTATTTTCATTCAAAGCAAACAAAATCCTTGAACACCTAAACATTATTGGCAGGCAAGTGAGTCCTTGAAGAGGAGTCTGCCTAGTGCATGCATGTCCCTATCTAGATCCTTCTTGGGCTGCTGTAGTCTGGATGCAAGGTATAGGAGACAGTGGAGATTGAGAGCTTTATTTCTCCCTCTTCCTCCTTCCACATAATAACAGAGCACTCATATAGCTCAATTAAAGTGCTTTCCATGTCTTACTTCATGTGATCCTCATAACAACTCTGTCCCTCTTGACTAATGACCCTTGGTAATGTGTTCATTTAGCAACTTGACTCTGTTTTCATTAATTTCTGGATGGAGATTGGAAGGCATATTAATAGGCTACATTCAAGTGGGTATATATTTGATTTAAAAAAATGTTTTGCTAGGCTCTTTAAGGTTGAGGATGTCCTGAGATGGGTGACTAAGATGGATGGGTCTGGCTGAGTAATACCACTCTATGGCAGAATGGATGGTAGGCAGAGCAGTCTTACCATGGGGCACAGTTGGCAAGGTAATTCAGTTTTCGGGGGAGTACAGTTTAACCAGGTGCTGGACTTCTGTTGCATAGCCTGTGATGGGGCAGGTTTGGTGACTCCTCACGTAGTTATACACACATCGGTAACAAAACACATAGCCAGAGGTGGCCAGTGCAGTGTCGTTCACCCGTGTTTTGCGACATAAGGGGCACACTGACTTCAGCTTTGGCAACAGAGAGGAATCAGAGTTGTAGTCCAGGTGCACAGGGGGTGGTGGGGTGGGCAGGGCAGTCAGGGATTTGATGGTTTCTTGATTCTCTGATGAGTACCACCAATCTAGGAATTGCAGGAAGAAAACACCTACAGAAAAGCCTGTGGAGACGGACAAGGAAAGGCCTCCTATAGCTTTCTTGACAGCTGACTGCACCTTCTCTCGAATACTGTTAGGGAGGAACATAAAACAGACGTTATGTCACAGGCCCGAAATATTATGAATTGTAAGAATATCTATTATTACACTGCTCGTCAAGATCATGGGTAGGACTGCATGGCCAAGTTTTCCAGTATCACTACAGTTTTGTTAGGAAGTAGCCAATTTCTATCGATTCTGCCTTTGTAATATTTCTCATCTCCTTTAGTTACCCCTTTTATTTAACTATCTACACTCTAATTTATTTCCACTCTAAAATCCAAACTCTGCGTACTGTTCTAATATCCTCCTTAATAGTGCTGCTGTCTATAGTCTCTTCCTCTTTCAATCCAACTTGCCCACTTCTGACAGATGAATATTCTTTGTCCACAGACCTGATGTTAAGAAACCTGATGTCAAAACCTCAAATGGTTGCATACGGCCCACAGCTTTAAGTCCAAACTCCTTAGTCTTGGTTATATCCAAAGTCCTTAATTCACAACACTGATAAAGGCTGTGTGACCTTGAACAAGTCACTTAACCTCGAAGAAGTCACTTAACCTCAGTGCTTCAAGAAAGAAACTTTGCAGAGAATGTGCTTATCTTACACCTTCTATCTACATTGCGACATCTTGTATACACCTATACAATCTTATACATGCTGGCATGGGACCTCGTTAGAGTGTGAAGGCAGGGACTATTTCCCCCCCCTTCTTTGTATCCCCAGGATTCAGCACACTGCCTGGCACATAGCAACAGATTAATAACCAGTACCTGTTGACTGATTGATCTGCATTGTTCCAGCAGGCTCCTTCCCTGGAGCTATCTGCACTGATGGCAGACGCGGGTCTGCTCTAACACCATTTCCAAGAAGACCCCTTGTTCTGATCCACAGCCTTTGCTTTACCCTGTCTTGGTCTGTGCTCACTGCTTAGCCCCTATCTGGAACCCCTTCCTTCTGATGTGCTACTACACCAACTTCACGTTTCAGACCCAATGCTGCCACTTCTTTCAGGAAGCCTTCCAAAGGGAGCACAGATCTGGAGCTTGGAGGAATCAGAGCACTACCCAACCCCCTCTTTTTACAGAGTTGGGCCCTTCTGTGCAGAGCAGACTACTAAGTGGCAGAGGGAAGATTTGAACCCAGCGGAAAGAGTGCTGGGACTAATGTCAACAGCACATGGTGACCTCTTATGTACTTATGCACAAAGGGCTCCTACACTAAGTCCCCCAACCTACATAGGTCATAACCTCCCCTAGGGCAGTGGAACCAATTCAGTTTCAGTTTTGGCATCATCCAAGCACTAGCAAAGTGCTGTCCTTAAGAGATATATATAGTAGATAACTTTAAAAAAGTGCATGGGAAAGCAGCCTGAGCAGCAGGACAAAGGACACAGGCCTGCCTCAGACCCCTCCCATCAGTGTGTGCTCAGACTAGTCTCTGACCTCTTGGTACTCGAGGCTGCTCTAAGACTACAAGCTGCATAGGTAGAGGGAGTTCTAATGAAATCACAGGCCACCCCTTTCTTTAATAAAAGCACATTAAATTGAAATGCCTCCCTCTTTCTGACTGAGAGTCACAGGTTGCTAAACATACTTTAATTACAAGTATTCTACGGTTTTCTGGATGATTCATTGATAATGTAGGTTGTGTGAAGCACAACCACAGCGCCAGGTTATAAAAGTGCCTGAATGTGGCAAAATCAGGATGAGACTTTAGCATGGTATCTATGAATTTTTAAAATAAAGGTTTTTTTTAGCAATGTAGAGATAAGAGTTTTTCTACATCCCCACTTTTACCTAGTGGCTGGCTGTTGCATCCCACTAGCTCGAGCTGGTGACTTTTCCAAAGCTCGGATATCCTCTGCTGAGAGTCTACCTAGGCAAACTCCAGCTAGGCTCAGTAAGGGTGAATGATGCTGAGCCTTCCCCAGGATGTAACGTAACTGCTGTATGAGGAACCAGCCTTCCCAAGCCATGGTCACAAAGGGATAAGCTGCCAAGAAAGCTCGGTAAAACCGCTTCCAACGGGAAGAAGGGGGATGAATGGAATATTCATCCTCTTCTCTTAGGCTGGAGACCAACTTCTCCAATTTCACTTTCAAGTAGGGAAAGAGGACCAGGAATAAGAGGGACTTCCAAAGCTGCTTCTTTGGGAGGCCGGCACTGGCCAACCTCCGGACCCCTCCAGGGTCTCCCATCACGATCCTCTTTAAGCCATAAAAGTTCTCAGAGAAGGAGGCACTGGCTTTAGACAAATAGTGCTGCTGTAGCAAAAGATCCAGAAAAGTGAAGATTTCATCAAACCACCGCCAGAGGAAGCCATAATGGGCAGGGTTGGATTCTGCAAGAACCTAAGGCAAAACGGCAAAATTAACTTCATTGCGTAATTAATTACTGCAATAAGGTGCCTGCATCGCCCTCTAGACTTGGGCCTCGGTTGTGATGCATCTCCAACCTTGGTGAATGCCTATTAGCAGGGCTCTGCCCACGGCACAGATTCGGGCACCTAGGTTCGGTGCCGGGCCCTCCCAGTGCTGACTGGCGCCGCGGTCCAGTATAACTTTTGGAGACAGGTCACTGGCCGTCCCGTCGCCGTGGCACCTCCACATGCCACGCCGCAGGGCAGTGCCTGCCTCCCCGGCCCGGGGTGGTCGGCCGGCCCCCTCCCCCTTTACCTTGGCCACGTGCTGAAGGGCGGGCCTCACGGCTGCCATCAGACTGTCCTGCGCTACCACCTCGAAGATGGAAGGCTGGTCGTCCGCGCCAGGGGCGGCCGTGATGTGAGCCCCGTGCTCGGCCATTGTGCCCTCTCCGTGCCGGGCCCTGGCGGGCACCAGGCATTAGAAGGTGACGAAGTACGAGGGGGCCATAGGAGAGCCCGGCCGTCCCGAACCTCCGGGAGTGGGGGCAGGGTCGGTGAAAGGCCCCGGGGCGGGAGGTAGGGCGAGAGCTCAGACGGGGCCGCTCAGCCGGTGGGCGACGGGAGCCAGGCCGCCATCTCCGTGGCGGGGGAAGGAGGCCGGGGCGGCCGGGCGGGGGGCTGAGAGCCCGGGCCCCATGGAGGAGCCGGGCGCAGTGAGAGAAGAGGGCGCAGGAGTCGAGAACCTTCCGAGCCGCGCAGCCGCACTTGGGGCCGGGGAACCGACGAGTCGTACACGGAAGTAGACGCTTCTCCGGCGGCGGGAGACGTGGAGACGCTCTAGTCCGCAGACGGCCACTCGATTCTTCACCGACTCACTTCCGCTTCCGGCCGGGACCTTTAAAGGGACCACACCCTCTCCGCCTCCTCCCCGTAAGGCAGGAGCTCTAATTCACTTACCTGGGGTGACTCATAGGGAACCTAGCGGGGCTGGGGTTGGCACGGCCTTTTGGTTGGGCATGTTTCCTTCTTTGCCAAGTGAAAGCGGAGGGCAGGGATTGGACTAGATTGGAGGCAGGAAATCAAATCCACGAGCATTTGTTAATCACCTCCTGTGAGCCAGGAATTGGTGCCTGTTTGACCCTGAAGACCACGAGTCTCAGTATGCTTATCCATAACATGGGGGAAAGCAACCTACTTCTTTGTACTGTGTGGATCAGAGATAATAATGGCCAGCATTTATATAATGCTTTAAGGTTTGCAAAGGGCATTACAAATATCCTGCTTTATTCCCACAACAACCCTGGGAGGTAGGTGCTATTATTATCCCCATTTCATAGATGGGGAACTGTAGCAGAGAGGTTAAGTGGCTTGGCCTAGGGAAGCTGATAAGTGTGTCACAGGGGATTTGAATTCAGGTCTTCCAGACTACAGATCAAGGGCTCTATCCATTGCACCACCTAGCTACCTTCTTGAATGCAAATCTGTAAGATTGTTAAGTACCTTATGGTGTTATTATACATATCCGAATTTTATTTTTTTGGACAGGTCTTGTGATTTCATGGATATAATAAAATTAGCCAATATAACATTTTAAGGTTTGCAAAGGACTTTTCATATGTTAACTCATTTTATCCTTACAGCATCTTTGGGAGGTAGGTACTCTTATCCCCATTTTACAGATGGGGAAACTGCCACCAAAAGAGGTTCAATGTCATGTCCAAGATCCCACAGCTATTAAGAGGAAAGATTCCAGCTCAGTCTTGCTGACTTCAAGTCATCTAGCTGCCCCTCTTGGTGAGGAAACTCTCTTTGCCAATGCAGCAATGCACTTAACTGCAACTTACAGTCTTAAGAGCTTGCCTGGAGTGTCATGTAGTCAATATTTCAGAGGAATATCTGGAGCCCAAGTCTTCAGAGCTCAAGGTGGCTTCTAGAATATAGGGTAGACTGGTGCAGAGGAGTGATACTTAGACCTTAGAGTGATTCAGCGTATCTTATATCTAATCTTTCAATTTCAGACTTCGCCAATTAAAGGGGTAGTCCTTTGAAATGTCATTCACTCTCAAATAGCTATTGAACAGATACTTTTTAGTAATCATAAGGTAGACCATACCTTAATTTGTCACTTGGCATCTTACTTTGTCAAATGCATCATAAATGGTTGTTAAATGAATGGATGAATGAAGTGAGGAAGACAAGCCTAACAGGTGAAATAAATACTAATATAAAGTAGTGTAAAGTAGCCTGGCAAAATTGAAAAAATTCTGGATTTGTGGTCAGAAGACCTGGATTTCTAGTCTTGTTGGACCCCAATACTTACTCCCTCTGTGAGAATGAGCAAGTAACTTAACCTTTCTGAAGCAGTTTCCTCATCAGCACAGTAGAGATAAACATTCCAATCAATTTTGTAAATAACAAGTTACTCTCTCCACACACACAAACATATATTTATGAAAGCTGTCATATCTAAATACTGAATTGTGTGAAAAATTAATGTTCCCAAAAGAAGTGGTTGAAACGTCAATGAAGGAAGAATAGGTAAATAAAATGAGAGGAGTAGCATCCAGGAACAGCGGAGAAGCACTGAGTTGCTGGAATGCTGGGGAATAAGAATGAATTAATTTATCGTCTCCATAACTCACATTTATATAGGGCTTTATGGTGTCCAAACACTTTGATCACAAGAGCTTTGCTGGAAAGAACACTGAATTTGGAGGTAGGAGAATTGTATTCAAATCCATCCAGCTTCTCTTTTACTTACTATTCAGGTGACCTTGGGTGTCACTTTTCTTCTGTGGGCCTCAATTTCTTTTTTTTTTTCCTTTTTTAGGTGAGGCAGTTGGGGTTAAGTGACTTGCCCAGGGTCACACAGCTAGGGAATATCATGTGTCTGAGGCCAGATTGGAACTCAGGTCCTCCTGATTTCAGGGCTGGTGCTCTATCCATTGTGCCACATAGCTGCCCCTGGGCCTCAGTTTCTTAAACTGTATAAGGAGAGGGGTGGACCATATCATTCTTAAGACCCTTCCAGTTCTCAATCCTATGAGCTTTCCCAATTATTAAATGAGTAACCATGTATATGCATAGGCCATTTCTCTTGGTAGAAGTAAGCTCTATGAGAACAGGGACTATTTTTTTCCTTTTTTTTTTTTGTCTTTGTGTCACTAGCACAGAGCTCACACTGCCTTATAGATCAGAAGTACTTAAGAAATATTTATTGAATTAGATTTTCCTGTTTCTGAAATAGGGATAATACTTGCAACTAATGAGCTTTTCAATCCTTAACGTGGTATGTTATTTTTATACTGGCCATTGATTAACCATTCACAGAACCAAGAGTGGAAGACTGTTCCTCTTCCCTGGGGATAGATTCTTATATTTGTTAGAATGCCTGAGTGCTGGACTCGGGAGTCTGCAAAGTAAATTTGATTTGGGTTAACAACATAGAAACAGTGTAGTATGGTAGAAAGAGCATTGCATCTGTAGTTAAAGGACTCAGATTCAAATGCTGACTAATCCCTATCTTTGTGGCTTTGGACAAGTCCCTGTCCCAAGTTCTCTGGGCCTCAGTTTCCCCATCTATAAAGTGAGAAGGTTGGACAAAGTGGCTTCATAGCTCTCTTCAAACTCCCAGTCTAAAATCATATGATTCTCTTTGGGTGCTATCCACCAATCTAGAACCAGGGATGTTTGTGAACTGAATATTCTTTTATAGTATGTAAACTGGGAAGAACGTGAGAGGTCATCTGGTTTTTTCCCTTCATGTTTTTATCCTATGTTTTTATTCCCCATAGGAAGTAGGCTACCTTAGGGCGTTGTCGTCCAGCACTTAACACTTTGTAGCTGCTAAATAAATGTTTGTTAATTAAGTTTATCGGTATGACCTTGGGCAAATCCTTTAGCTTCCCTGAGCCTCAGTTTCCCCAACTGTAAAATGTGAAATGAGTCCCTTATAGCTCTGGTTCTTATGGTCGGTTATATAGGCGAGGAAACAGCCTGGGAGAAGTGAAGTTCCCACCCTTGGTAATCGGCTCGGTGTGGATTCATATCCAGATCCTGGGTTCCACGTTTACTTTTGGCGGAAGTGCAGACCTTTTTGGGGAGCTCCCTTTAGAAGGATTATTAACCTTTTCTGTGTCATAGCCGTCAGGGGTAGCCTACAGAATCCCTTTTTCAGAATAATGCTTTTAAATGCAAATAATGTGTGGAATTAAGAGGAAACCAATTATACTAAATAGTTATAAAGATATATGTTTTTAAAAGTCTTCGGACCCCCAGGTTGAGAAACTCTGCTTTAGAGAGCTTAGCCCAGGCGTGTAATCAACGACAATATCCCGAGAAAAAGAACTCCCGAGGTAGCCATCTGTAGAAATGGACCCTTTCTGCCTCGCCTTGTCTCCCTGGCACGTAGCCCAGCGCCTGGCACGCAGCAGGCGATCAGTAACTGGATGCTTGTTCACTGACAGACTCTTAAAGCAGCACCTCCGCCCCTCACTGGGGAGAGCACCAATCGGCTCCGGTGGGGCGGGAAGGGGTGGGGGTGGGGAGGTGGGAAGCGCTATCTCCATGACGACCGGACGCGCCGCTGCCGTCCTCTCCCGGGCTCTCCCCAGGGGATGCTCGGAGCCCCGCCCCCGCCCCCCCCCCCGCGCGCCGCGACGCACGCGCCCTTGACGTGGGCGCTTCCTGTCGGCCATCTTTAGATCTGGCAAAGGGGGTTTTGCGCAGTGGCTGAGGCCGCCCCGAAAGGATTCGTGCCGGGCAGCAGCCCTCGCCCCACTCGCCGCCCGCCGCCTTGTCCCTCCTCGCCTAGCCTTGCCTCTTCTCGCCTCGCCTCGTCCCTCCTCGCCGCTGCCGGTGAGTTCAGGCCGCCCAGTCCGTGGGGTGCCGGGGAGCAGTGGGGCTGTCGGGGCCGGGCGTGGCCGTGGCCGCGGGGTCCGGGGCGGAGGAGGCGGGGGTGGGGGGCGCTGAGGGGCGTGGCCAGGTGAGCCCCAGCTGGGGAGGGGGGGCTGGTGTTCGGGGCATTGCAGCCCGGAGGATGCCCTCTGCCCGACTCATTCAATTAGCGCTAGCCGATCTCCGACCCCTGATTCGGGCTGCCCGGGCAGCTGCAGCCCCCCGAGCTCCCAGGAAGAGGAGGGGGCGGCGAAGAGCAGGCTGGAGGGCGTGGGGCGCGCCCGGGGCCCCTGCGTGCAGACCGGGCTGGGCCAGGCCTGAGCCGGGCTGAGCCGGCGCGGGCGGAGCGCTGCAGAAATCCGCCCTCTCTCCTCCTCTGTTCCTGTTCTCCCGGCTCTCTCGCCTTCCCTCCTCTCTCTCCTCTCTTTTTCCTTCTCGTGATTCTCTCTCTTCTCCCTTTTCCTCCCTCCTTCTCTCTGTCCGTGTTCTCTCGTCTCTCTCCCTCCCCCTTCTTTCTCTTTCCCTCTCTCCTTGTTCTCTCTGTTCTCCCTCTTCTCTCCGTCCTCTCATTTCCTCCTTCCCTTCCTTCTTTCTCTCCCTCATTTCTCTTCTCTCTTTTTTCTCTCTATTATCCCTTTTCTGTCCTTCTGTATCTCTTTCACTCTCTTTTTTCTCTCTCCTCTTTTCTGTGTGTCTCCCTCTGCCTCTTCTATCCCTTTAATCACAAGGACCCCGTGAATTAGGTCGTATTTCCCTCTTATTTTACAGATGGGAAACTGAGGCCTTGAGAATTTTTTTAAACAACACTCATGGTCACATAACTTATGGGTGAGAAGTAGGGGTGCCAAGGCAGGTCTTGGAGTGAATGGGGAAGGGAGTGGGCTATTGGCTGATAGGAACACTGATGTGTTTGCTGTTCCAGCCTGTTTTATGTCCATAAGGCTCTAGGAGCTTTGAGAAGGACTGTGAGAGGAACCAATTTAAATTCCTGGGGGGAGGGAGTTAAAGAGCAAGCATTTATTAAATGCTCTTTGAATTGTGTTGAATTAAACTGAACCCAGAAAAATGCACACTGTACTTCATATTATGGAAAATTCAGATCATAGGATTTAGGCCTGGAAGTGACTTTAAAGAACATCAGATCCCCTTCAGTTCTACAAACATTAAGTGCCTACTGCATACAAGATACTGCTAACTTATTTTAGATGGTAGAAAATTTGAGCTTTTTAAAAAATTTTCAGATACTTTGGGGCTCAGTTATATCCCTTGGGTTTACATTTAAGGTGGGGTGGAGAGAGGGAGGGAGAGAGAGAAAGTGAAAGTGTGTGTGTGAGAGTAGGTATATTTTATTGGGTTCACCTGGTTGCTTGTAGTTCCCAGGTTCCTTATTAAACACTTTTAACCTTTTAAGAGAAGTACTCTCCAAATATCAAGCATCATCGTCATCATTATAGTTGTTGAAAAGATGGAAAGAAAGTGAAATTAGCTCAGGACTGGCTGAATGGCTGGGGAACTGGAGATCTTAATGAGGAAAAATGTAAATTATTAATTATCTTCTTTGGATGCCTCTATGCTTAGCCTCTGGGCACACTTACAAAGTAATAATAGAAAGCATCTCACTAAGAAGATAAAGAATGCTAAGGAAAAAACCTGTAGCCTTTTCAAAGGCTAAGTGTGGTGGTTAGGTGAGAGCTGTTGAAAATATCACAATTCAGACACTTCCTTGGCAGAAAAGTAATTGTGTTAGTTCTCAGTGAAGCTGTATGCATATGAGGTGGAATTTAAGAAAAAGTTGGCATTTGGGCTGTGAATGAAGCAATTTACTGGGAATAAAATGAGACTACATTAGGAGTTTTTAGCGTGGAGGCCGGGAACTTGGAGATAAATGCACACACACGCATCCCTTGTATATCGATATATTTGCTTTCCTTTGTGATTGTTTGTATTTTAAGCATAGGCCTTACTAGACTTGTGCTGAAGGGATCCAAAACAACAAAAGTTAAGAACCCCTGGAACAGGGTCTAGTTCTCTCCTTCCCCCTCCCCCACACTTCTTCCCTTCCCCTCTCCCATTTCTTTTTATAACTATTTGGAATTTAGTTTGCAACAGTATGCGTGTGATTTTAACCACAAGGAATGAAGTAGATAAAATTTTTGTTTTTCTTCAGGTTTATTGTTTCTTATTTTGAGGCTGTTGGATTTGTTTGCTTTATAGCTTACTATGTACATTTAAATGAAAGTGGCAATTGATAGCTTTGTTTGTTCAAGACACCTAGGCAATATAAGTTCCTGTTGTGTGTAAGGTATCAGGGGATACAAAGATGGGGGTGGGGAGACCCACTTTGCTGTCAAGATTTTGGTCTAGTGGAGACTAAAACCTATATACAGAGGACTGTGCTGTGAATTAGAATGGCAGAAGTCAGAAAAGAAGAAGAGAGTGGCATGAGAGATTTGCAGAGGCACAGTTCGTATTTAGCTGTGTCGTGATTCAGTGATTCATTATGAGCTAGCTGTTGTTGGTAAGGTGCCATTTTCTCTTTATGAATTTCATTCAGTCTTTGATTAGGGGCAGACTCTGCTATGCCATAATAATCTTCATCCTTGGAATGAGAGGTTGCTAGAATGCCTTGACATAACATTTTGGCTAACTCTTTGACTAATTTCTTTGAGCATGAATCCTTCAAGGATGAAAAGCCCTGGTTTTTGTGAAAGGAAGGGCTTAATAGAATTTCTGATTGGATTAGCTAGCATTTCGTAGAACTTTTTGGTCTCAGGACCCCTTTACACTCTTAAAAATTATTAAGGACCCCAAAGAGCTTTTGTTTATGTAGGTTATATCTATCAAATATTTACCACATTAGAAATTAAAACTGATAACCATTTAAAATATTTATTAATTTATTAAAATGGCAATAATCATTACATGTTAACATTTCTATGAAGAATATATTTTTAAAACAAAAATTAGTGAGAAGAGCAGTATTTTTTATATATTCTTGGAAATCTCTTTAATATCTGACTTAATACTGGATTCTCATATCTCTTGCATTAAATCGGCCTTAATAAGTCGTTTTGGTTGAAGTCTGTGGAAAAAAAATCTAGCTTCCAAAAGATATGTAGTTGGAAAAGGGAGGAGTATTTTAATAGGCAAATAATCCCTTAGAATTATGAAGCACTGGGCTTGGAGTTGGGATGACCTGAGTTCAAATGTGACCTTAGACACTTCCTAGCTGACTGGGCAAGTCACTTAACCCCATTTGCCTCAGTTTCCTCTTCTGTCAAATGAGCTGGAGAAGGAAATGGCAAAACACTCCCAATATCTTTGCCAAGAAAACCCCAAATGGGATCACAAAGAGTTGGATACAACTGAAATGATCTAACTACAAGAAGTTATTGTGAAAATAGTTTTGATCTCTCAGATTCCCTCAGAGCACTCCTTGAGAATTCAGGTGGGGCAGTTAGGTGGCAGTGGATAGAGCGCTGGCCCTGGAGTCTGGAGAACCTGAGTTTAGATCCGGCCTCAGAACAAACACTTGACACTTAACTAGCTGTGTGACCCTGGGCAAGTCACTTACCCCAATTGCCTTTAAAAACAAAAAAAAGGGAGAATTCAGCAGCAAATCAAGTGATTTGATTTGTCCAGTTTTACAAAGCCAGTATATGTCAGAGGCAGAATTCGAACCCTCAGATCTTACTGACTCTAAGTCATATTCCCAGCTGTTAGGTTATGAAACATGCAGATGGTTGCTACTGAACAGAGAAGCTCTTACTGAAGTCAGTGGTGACCTGTTCATCCCGTGCTGGAACCGAGAAGGTGGAGCAGAAGGGGAGCATGGTATGGAACTCAAGGGTCATGGAGTTTTGTTTTCTAGACAGATGTAATGGCTTGTGTATGGTAGGCTTTATGCCCAAATAATTATTGGCTTTTATACTTAAGTGGTAAAGCAGAGGGCCCAGGATGACAGGAGCTGTGAAGCATCTTGGTAAGGTACAGTGTGCCTGGGGACCCTGGTCCTGATAGGAGTGGGAAGGGCCACTGCTGCAAATACTGCCCTCTTCACCCCCCCCATTTAGAGTCCCAGGAGACAAAGACTAAAGGAAGACATCCCCCCCTTAAAAAATTACTGAAATCTTGTGTTTACATTATCTTAATTTCCATATATATATATATATATATATATATATATATATATATATATATCCCTCCCCTAAGAGTCATTCCTCTTAACAAAAACCAAAAAGGGAAAAAAGCAGTTCAGCCAAACTAACAACCCATCAGCCGGGTTTTAGCATTTATGGTGTTGATGGTCTCACCCTTGCAGAGGAGGGAAAAGAGATCCATTTTCTCTTCTCTTCTTTGGGGCCAATCAAGCTTGGTCATTATAATTAAACACCTTTCAAATTAGTTTTTTGTTCCACTTACAACATAGTAGTCATGGTGTATGTTGGTTTTTGTTTTGAGTGGGCCTGTAGCCCAATGTAGGGTAGGATGGTGGTGTCCTTTTTGTGGGAATCTGCTCTTTGCCTTATCTGAAACTTGAGTAACTGTTGCCCGGGGTGTTGAGAGGTTAAATGACTTGCCTGGGTTGAGTTAGCTGAGTCAGAAGTGGGGCTTCTCTCAGGACAGTTCTATTTAAACTACATCTCTTTTTCTGTGTATTTATTTTCCTGGTTCTGCTGACTTCACTAGCATTGGCTGGTATAAGTCTTCCCATGATGTTCTGAGTCCTTCCTAATTTCTTATTCCTTTATTCACATACCACAGTTTGTTTAATTATTTTCCAAATTATAGGCATCTACTTTGTTTCCCCATTATTATCATTATTATTATTATTATTATTATTTTACCACAAAAAGAATTGCTCTTAATATTTTGGCATATGCGGGACCTTTATTTCCGTCTTTCACTACTTTGGAGTATATGCCTAGCAGTGAGATCTCATGCTCAAAGAGTGTGGACATTTTAATTTTTTTTTTAACATAATTCCAAATTGCTTTCCAGAATGGTTGGACCAATTCACAGCCCCACTCACAATGTGCAACATTCCAGTCTTTTGTCAAATTTGCTAATATGAGGTGGTCTCAGTTATTTTGATTATCATGTCTCATTGGAGTGATTTGGAGCATTCTTTAATCTGGTTAATAGTTTTTATTTGATCATAGCCCCAGGCTGGATGAGGGGGAGGGGAGAGGGTCAAGCTGAACAGGGATAGGGATGGGGATGGGGGTGGGGGTGGGGGATTTCTTCCTCAGTCCTCCACCTCCCACCCAATTCTCTGCTTCCCAATGATTGTGTCTCCAGAGCAGCAGTAAGGTGGAGCACTGCTGGACCTTAACTACAGCTCTGTTACAGAAGCCTATTTGTGTTGTCTACCTTAATTAAAATGTGAACAGAGAGCGGAACTGTCATGTTTTTCTGTTTGTGTGCTCTGTGCTTAGTAAGTGTTTAATAAATGTTTTATTCATTCACATTGACTCTTTATCTGTTAGAAAGGGAAGATCCTCCTATGTCTTTCTCTTAGAGCCATTGAATTTTCAACATTGACCAGGGGGGACCATGAAAGGGGAATGGCCAGAGTTGGGGGAGAATTAGCAGCCAGCCTGAAGTCTCCACTCAGCCTAGGACAAGGGTGAGGAACCTGTGGCCTTCTAGGTCCTCAAGTGCAGCCCTTTGACTGAACCCAAACTTGACAGAACAAATCCCCTTAATAAAAGGATTTGTTCTGTAAAACTTGGACTCAGTCAAAAGGCTACACCCAAGGACCTAGAAGGCACAGGTTCTTCACCCTTGGCCTAGGACTTCAGTCTGTGAGGCCCTGTGAAGAACCATGGCCCTGGACTTTGGCTTTTAGGCACATTCCCTAAGCCCTCCCTCTGTCTTTATCTCTCCTACATCAGTCCCTTCTCCCTTCAGAAATGCCCAACTCTCACCAATCCTTAAAAAAAAAAGCAACTCTTACTAGACCCTACCATCCTTTCAAGCTATCTGTTTCTTAGCCAAAGTCCTAGAAAAAAAATCTGCCTATACTCACTGCCGCTGATTTCTCTAATTTCCTCAGTCCTTTGCAGTCTGACTTCCAGACCTCATCACTTAATTGCAACTGCTGTTACTAAAGGGACCAGGGGTGTCTTAATTTCCAAATCCAATTGTCCTTTTTCAGTCTTGATCTTTTTTCTACCTAATCTCTAGGTTTGACACCATTGAGCCCTCTTCTTAATATTTTCTTTGTGCTCTCCTGGTTTTCCTTCTACCTGTCTGTTCCTTCTTTGTTTCTTTTGTTGGCTCGTCATCCAGACCACAAAAGTTCCCCGAGACTGTCCTGGGCCCGCTTCTCCTATGTCTATATGCTCTCTCTTGGTGATTTTATCAGCTCCCATCCCAGATTGATGGAAGAAGGTCTAATCTCCTGATGTCCTGGAGGCATCTCAAACTGAACATATACAAAAGCAACTCATCTTTCCTGCCACACCCCCTCCTCTTCAGACTTCCCTCTTTCAGTTGAAGGCACCACCATTCTTCCAATCTCCCAGGTCCATAACTTCAACATTATCCTTTTGTCCTCACACTTCTTCACCTCACAGTCAGTTGCCAAATGATGTTTGTTTATGTGGTTATATTGTGTTTGTGGTTTTGTGTGGTTTATACCTCTATAACGTTTCTTGTATCCAGCTCCTTCTCCCATCTCCCAAAGCTGCCATCTTAGCTCAGGCTCTCCTTGCCTCTTGTCTAGATTTTTGTAGTGGTACCTTCACTGGCCCCTTGCCCCACTCCAGTTATCTTCCACAGTGCTGCTAAAGTGGCTTTTTCTAAGCACAGATCTGACCATGTTATTTCCTTACGTGATAGAACCCTGGGGCGCACTATAGCCTTAATAAACTGTCACATCAAGAGGTAACTTCAGGTTTTGAAAGCATTTTTATTGCCTGCTGGATAAAATATAAACTCCCCTGCTTAGTTTTAAAAGATCTTTAACAGTGTGGCACCAACCTATTATTCCTGCCCACTTGTATATGACTCCTGTGGTACTCTGCATTCTAGCCAAACTAGCTGCTTCTCTGCTTCTTACATGCAGCAACACCCACATGTCCTCTCCATGCTTATGCAGTAGTCATCCTCTGTAACTGAAATGAGCTCCCTCCTCACCCCATTTCATGGAAGCCCTCTTTCCCTTAAAGGCTTACCCCACATACCGCTTTCTCGGTGAATCATTTCCTGATCTGTAATTGCTTGTGTCTTCCTTCCCAACTAATTTATGTTTAACCACTTTGTATTTATTCTCTTTGTTTGTTTTACTTAAACTCACATGTTCTTTTTGCCTCTCCCACTAGAGTGTAAGCCCCTTGCAAATAGGGAATTGGGTATCTGCAACCCCATCACCAGGCACATAGTAGGTTCTGAATGAATGCTTGTTGATTGGTTGATCTAAAAGCATACAGGGAAAACAGCTTTTCCTAGAAAGAAAATAATAGGAAGAGAGTATTTTTCCAAGTAAAATTACCATTTTTTTCAAAAAGGTATAGCTTTAGCTTTTCAAGCCTTCTTGGATGATATCGTAGAGTTAAGGCAGGCTCAGCAGTTTATCTCCCACTGTCTTTGACTTTAGGACATCAGTGTCGTTGTTGTTGTTTTTCCCCACTTGCAATGCTGGGTGTTCTGGCAGGAGCAGCTTTATGTTGGTTAAAGGAATCTTCTCTCATTGCAGGGATACCTTAAAGAGCTGGAAAAATGACTGACTCCAAGTATTTCACAACCAATAAAAAAGGTAAGGCCTGGTAAATGTGTGAGATTTTCAAGGAAATAATAAAGTGTCATTCCCTCCAGCCAAGGTCGTGGCTCGACTAGATCCACCAGTGAATGAGGTGAGGTTTATTTTACATATCTTTAGCTACAGGACTGTTCTAGAGAAACCTCTTGGTGTTTGAATGTGATGGTAAGCCTGTGGAAGGCAATCCCAGTGTTTCAGAATGGTAAAAAAGGTAGAATCACTCAAGTATCTTTGTCTCCTCTTGGCTTGGGAGGAAGAGGGGAAAACCTCCTGTCCATTTGGCTACAAAAGCTGAAGAAATGATTACATTGCATGTCAGAGTGATCATTCTGCCTGATCATTTTAGGTTCAGGTTGGATGAGAGACGGTCAGTAAGGTTCCTTCCCAGTCAAAGATTCTTTGTTCCCAAAGACTGCCTGGCAGAATAGACTCTGGTTCTCAGATCGTGCACTGAGAATTAAGTCAGGTGCCCCATTCTGGCCAATTGATGCTGCTCTGAGCTGGATACGGATTTTTCCATCCGAGTGTAGAACTAGAAGCACTGGCTGAGAGCTCTCCTTCAGAAACCCTTTCTTCTAAAAATATGACTTGGAACCACCCACTTGAGAGCTATGGCTAGCTTCCCTTTTCTGAGCTCCTTTGGGTTAGGCAGCTTATCCTTTTTAGTCATTGGTTTTACTGTCTAAGATAAACTTCCATCCTAGGAATCGTGGTGCCATGGGGAAAAACACTGCCTTTGAAGTCAGGGGGCCTCGTTTGGAATTTTGGCTCTGCCAGTTCCTCTATGTCTTTGGGGGAGTCATTTAACCTCCATGGGCCTTAGTTTCTTTATCTATAAAATAGAAGAGTTGGCCCAGATGATCTGTCTGGTCCCTTCCAGCACTAAATCTGTGGTCCTATGATATCAGTAGAGATCCACAACATGAATAAAACTGGGTTGTTCCTGTCTCTTCAATGCTATGTATACAGACCTTTACCTGCACTTTGTGGATAGGTTTCCCTTGTGATAGACATGGGAAATTATCCTGAATAGCACTCCTTCCTGTGTTGGGTGTAATCAGTAGAGCCCAAAGACATCAGGGCGTGCTTAGAAGACCCGAATACAGTTTAGTGCCATCTTCATAGGCCTACCATTATTTTAATCATGAAGTAGCTTTTAAATTTTGAAAGAATTTTTAACCTTCTTGTTTGTGGTTAAACCTTTAATGTTGTTGCATATGAAGCACCTCAGTTGTCTCCCTTTCACTTTTTTTTGTTGAAATGCTAGAAAATGATCTTTCGGCTTTTTAATGTTTTAATGTGAATTCTTGATATGTCACTACATTTCCTTATGCAGAAATTCAGATTAATCCTAATCATTTTTCCATCAGAGAGAGCATGTACTAAATCACTTCTTTTTTATATTGCTTTATCCTGTACCTTGGCTTCCTTTATTTCCTATGGTCAGGCTTTTCTGATTGAGTCTCCACTCACTGAGGACAGATGTGTTTTAGTGGCAGAGAGAGGAAAGTAGGAGAGTGGAAGTCTTTCCCTAGTTGATTTCTTACAATCCTTTTTTAATCCATTTTTGTTTTGGATTCCTTGTGTCTCTCTGCCCCCAGGGACCCTTATAACTTGGCTTCCTCCTCTATGAATGTCATGGCTATCTTCTACTCCTCTAGCTTTTTTTGGTTTTCTTAATGTTATCTGTTTCCTTAAATTCCAAGGATCAGCCTGTTTCTGCCTTCCTTTCCATAGCATTTTACTTGCTTTGATGATTGAGCTGTCTTCTGTTCTGTCTCATAGGGATATAATTAAAGCTGTTTGAAGGAACTTTATTATCCAATGCCCATCGTTCAGGGGACTCTGTTACTTTCCTTTATTCAGGCGTTTGTAACATCAGCCTAGCGGTTAGGCCTTTATTCTACTATCAGAAATGTTAAGTTGAATTTTTTTTAAATAAAGGAAAGAGCGGAAGAATTGAGTTACCCTTCTCTCAGATGGTATTTTAGTCAGTTTGAGTAGCTTCTGCTACATCCTCTTTTGATTTTGCTACTCCTGCTGCTGGAGTAGTCTGGAATCCTTCTGTTTGCTCATTTGGGCCTCTCAGGAAATAAGTGACGGGAAAAGAGAAAGCTGAATTTTGGCAGCTTTGAATTTGGAGGGAATCCAACTTAGCTGACTGCTTTTGGCTATGCTATTTCATTTGCTGAACAAAAAAAAGAAGTAATTTTTCATTTGAAATGCTCTTGCCTTCTTTGTTTAAGTGGGTATTGATGGCACAGACCCCACTAGAGGTGCTTGATTCCTATGAAAATCATAATGTGCTGTTACCCCTCTTTTCCCAATTTTTGTCCCACTGGATAATATTTGAATGTATTTATAAACTGGATTTATACCGAGGATGATTCAACATTAGGAAAAAGAATAATTGTAATTAATTATGTTAAAAACAAAAAGCTCCAAACTGCATAATTATTAATAATGTGTTAATATTAAATCACATATTAATAATGTAGAAAAAGTGTTTGACAAAGTACAATACTAATTTATACTGAAAACACAAAGTATAAGTATGGAGGGATCTTTTTCTTTTAGTATGACAAAAGTATTTAAGATAAAAAGCAAACATTATATGTAAATATAATGGGAAACAATAGAAATTTTCCTAGTAAATATAAGAGTGAAGCAGGGATGCTCCCCTCTCCCTCCTATTATTTGATAGAGTTTTAGCAATGGTAGTAATCGGCAGTAAGACAAGAGAAGGACATTAGAGACATAAGGATAGGCAAAGAGGAGACAAAACTATCTATTTGTTGATGACACTGTGGGTTACTTAGAAAATCTTAGGGAATCAGCAAAGAAACTAATTGACAGAACTAACAGCTTTAGCAAACTTGCAGACTACAAAATAAATCTACAAAACCCAACAGCATTTCTATATAATAATCCAGGAAAAATATTAGAAAAGAAAATTCCATTCAAAATAATGACAGAATATTTGGGAGTCCATTTACTAAAGCCCATGAGACCTGTATCGATTCAATTTCAAAATATTCCTTAAAGAAATAAAGATCTTAAATAGCTAGAGTGCTGTTCAGAGTTCATAGCTGGGCTATGCCAGTATAATAAAAATGATAATACTGCCAAAGTTAATTTATAAATTTGATACTATGCTATTCAAACTACCAAAGGGGGATATTTTATAGTGCTAGAGAATAGATTAAGAATTATCTGAAGGAACAAAATAATAGAATATCAGGGAAAATAATGAAAAAGTTAGGAATGAATGTGGAATAGCAGGCCTAACACTGCTTTATAAAGTAGCCATCATCAACAACATTTGATACTGGTTAAAAAAATAGAGAAGTAGATCAGTGAAACATATTAGGAGAAGAACAAACAGAAACCGTTGAATTTAGTAGACTAATGTTTGATAAACCTCAAAAAACAGTGGAAAAAACTTATTTGATAAGAATTGCTTGGAAAATTAGAAAGCAGACTGGCAGAAATTGAGCGTACCCAGAATTTTGCCCCGCATGCCACAATATGTTCAAAATGAATACGCGATTTCTTGCTTTCTCAGTGAGTGGGGGAGGGAGAATTTGGAACTGAAAATAAAATAAAATTCAGTTTTAAAAAAATGGATACACGAACAGAATATTAAATATATCATTACAAAATTAGAAGAAAAGCAGATCATAAACTTCACAACTGTGTACAAAGGGTTGATGTCTTAATGCAATAAGGGTTAAAAACAAAATAGATGATTTTGATTAAATGAAATTGAAAAACATTTACACAAACAAAGTTAATGCATTTAGAATAAAAAGAGAAATGATTGACTGGGGAAAACTTTTTTTCTATCAAGTATCTATGATGAGAAATTCTTATGTAAGATATAGACTACTAAGAGAAATATTTAAAACCAAAAGCCATTCCCTAACCGAGGAGTGGTCAAAGGATATAAATAGTTTTCAAAAGAAGAATTGCAAACAGTTAACCATTTGAAAGTACGCTCCAAATTGCTAATGATAACAGAAATGCACATCAAAACAAGCGTGAGGTTTCATTCTCAGCAATTTGGCAAAGACGACAAAAGATGGGAATTATTAATCTTGTAGAGATTGTGAAAAAACAAGCACACTCATGTATTGTTGGTGGAGCTTTGGACCTCTACAACCATTTTGGAAGTCAATTTGAATTTATGCAAATAAAATGACAAATATATGCATAATACCCTTTGGCCCATAGAGTCCGCTACTAAGGGTATAACCCAGGGAGTTCATTTATAAGATGACTTCATAGACATTAAAATAATTGTAGCTGCATTTTTTTGTGGTAACAAAGAACTGGAAACAAGGTAGATAGATGCCAAGTGACTGGAAATGCCTAAACAAAATGTGGTAGATGCGTGCAATGAAATATTGCTGTGTTGCAAGAAATTACGAACACAATTGAATACAAAGAAGCATGGAAGAGCTTATATGAATTGTTGCGAAGTGAAAACAATATATACAATGATTATAGCAATGTAATTCGAATGAACAAGAACAAAACAATTAAAACTTAGAGTTACAAAATTTCGATGATCAAACTTCTTCCCAAAGAAAAGACAGAAGATACTTCTGTTCCTTCTCTCCATCTGTTGATTGGTTTTGCTGAATTTTTTTTACTCTTGAAATTTTTTTGTTGTTTGTAAAGGACTTGTCTTTCTGGGTGAAGCAAAGATAGAATGGAAATTATTGGTGAGTCTGCCTTCCCGGAAACACACAGGAATTATGTCAATATGTAAAATTATTTTCAAAAATAAAGCCAGACCTAAATAATTGGAGAGATATTAATTGCTCATGGTTGGACTGAATCAACATGAAAATTATAGTTCTACCTAAATTAGCTTATTCAGTGCCATATCAATCAAACTACCAAAGAAATTCTTTTTAGAGCTGGGAAAAAAATAATAAAATTCATCTGGAGGAACAAAAGGTTATTAGTTTCAAGGGAAGTAATTTTAAATAGCGAGAAGAAAGGTGGCCCCGAAGGATGAAATCTTAAACCACACTACAGAGCAGCAGTGACCAAAACTAGTTGACACTGGTTAAAAATAAAAAAGTTAATCAGTAGAACAAATTAGAAACATGACATTCTGAACTAATTAAACATAGTAGCATAGTTTTTTGTAAACCCAGGACCCAGGCAATTTGGATAAGTACTCAATATGTGACCAAAAAGAAAAACCTGCTGGGAAAACTGGAAGACCATTTGGAAGAAATTACGTTTAGACTGACATCTTATGCCACATTCCACAGTCAGCTCCAAATGGAGAAAAGACCTAGATATAAAAGGTCATGAAAGCAAATTAGAGCAGCATATACCTTCCAGAGAGACCCAAGGCAGAGGTAAAGGACCAGTGTGTACACGAATATTTATAGCAGCACTTTTGTCATATCAAAGAACTGGAAACTAAGAGAGTGCCCATCAGTTGGGGAACAAATAATGGTATGTAAATAGTATGGTAGCCTAAGAAATGATGAAAAGGATGGATTGAAAGAATTTTGGCAAGATTTGGAGGAACCAATATAGAATGAAGTAAGCAAAATAATATGAGTAATTCATACAATTTTTACGACATCGTAAAGGAAAATAACTTTGAAAGACCACAGTGATCAGCCATGACTCCAGAGGATGTCCAGATGTAGCACGTTACCTATGTCCTGGCAGAGAGATAGATGAAGACTCGAGGTACAGGATGGACCATATGATTTCACACATGGCCAATGGATTTTTTTTTTTTGCTTAAATGCTTATTTGTAGTAATGGAGGTTTTTTTTTTTTAAATTTTGGGGGGGGGAGTTAGTTTGAGGGGCTGATGGGGGCTACAGCTGGTGATGCTCCAGGAAAAGAAAAGAAAGAAGAGGGTCATTGTTAAAATATACAGAAGAAAACAGAAGGAAGTTTAGAGAAAGACACAAAGAAGCAGGATAACTCTGAAGCTAACATGTTGATTTCATAATGAGCTATGAAAGTAATGTGTTGAATTTATTATATATTTTTTAAAAACTATATCTAATAGAGAGTGGCAATTTCAATTTTTGCCTCTTTTTCCTTGCCTTATATAGGGAAATATTCATATTTATCAAGTTCAGAATGACAACATTTTTTTAAACTTAAAACTTATTTTACTTTTGAGAAAGAAACCCAGAGTAACTTGTTGGTCTGTGTTCAGTTAATTCCAGTTCTTTCTAAGCTACTCCCGTAAAGAGGTTTTGCTATTGACCTTTAAAAATTTTTAAACACATTTAAACCAAATAATTTTAAGTCTGTGTAGTCATCTCTTTGATACTTAAAATATAGAATTTCCTTGCTCAATTGTTAGAGACCCTGTAGTCTGCAACATGTTAATACTAAGATTATCATGAAGTATCTGGTACTTTGATGTCAATTGAATTGAGTACTAAGGTTCTGCAAATCAAGTTCATCTTCACCCATACATTAAGAGAATTCCTATTAGTCCTGGTTTAGTCTTTTTACAGGACTCAGCAGAGTTTCTGGGACTTGGGATTTATTACCCGCTCTTCCATATGCTGAGTCTGTTATCCTATATGTCATGACTCCACTGGATACCTCTCCTGGTTTTGTTTTATTTGTGAAGTGTAGCTTAGGTCTTAGTTACTTGGTTCTGGGACTCTCTACTGACACATTCTCTCTCTCTTTCTCTTTTTGGTAGGAGAGATCTTTGAACTGAAGGCAGAGCTCAACAATGAAAAGAAGGAGAAAAGGAAAGAAGCTGTCAAGAAAGTGATTGCAGCCATGACAGTGGGGAAGGATGTCAGGTAAGGGATCATGTGCCTGCCCCCACCTCCCACCCCATTCTTCCTTCTCTCTTGTTTGCTTTCCCCTTTAATTGCACCTCCTTTGGTGAGGCAAGGAGTCCTTCCTAAACTCCTTCAGGACTGACTCCTTTGTAACTCTACCCTGCTCTTCAGATAATGTCCAAGGAGAAGATGGTGAATTTGATCTTGTCACACTGATCTAGCTAGCACCACACTGCCAGGGAGCCGGCATCCTTGTGAATCTGGGACCAGGACATGTTCATGCAATGTTAAAATTGCTTCGGGAGGCAGAAGCTTCCGTGATTACTACTGAGTTCAAGTCACCATTGTCGGTTCTTTGGGAGCCCAGAATTCATATGCTAAGTTAAAGAACTGTTTTAAGAAATCTGTCTGGTTTGAACAGATTACAGTGTTTCTATGATTTAGCATAATCATTTTGGACTTTGAAATGCCTTCACCACATGTGTGAGATCATGACATAGAAGGCAGATCTTCATGAAACGTACTCCACAGCAGTTCCTGTCTTTTTGATCACACATTTGACTGAAAGATGTAGAGAATACAGGAGTGACTGAGCTTATTTTTGGTTGATTGTAAAAAAGTGTTTTATTTTGTAGAACAAAATGCAGCCTTCGAAGGCTTTCCTCCAACAAGATTCCTACTGCGCATTAGATAGAATCATACAAGACTCCTTTCAACATGTAATGACAGAGGGCCAGCTAGGTGGCGCAGTGGATAGAGCACCAGCCCTGGAGTCAAGAGGACCTGAGTTCAAATGTGGCCTCAGACACTTAACACTCACTGTCTGTGTGACCCTGGGCAAGTCACTTAACCCCAGCTGCCTCTCAAAACAAAACAAAAAGATGTAATGACAGAGAGAACATTATTCAACTCTCTGATAAGTAATTTTTTAAGGCCTAAAATAGGGAGACTTGTGCTTACCAAAGGTGTTTGTCACAGACCTCCTCCATGACAGTGGCAGTGTCCAACAGGAAGAGGAAATCCCTTACAATTGGTGAGGTAATTGAGATATTCTTGTTTGTGAAGGACATTGCGTTGTTGCCTTGAAACCCTGGAACTTTGCAGAGCCTCCTGAATGAGATCTGTCACCACCCAGGAGAATTTGTTCTCACTGTTCCCACAGAAAGAGTCGGATAGAAGAATGTCTGTTGTGTAGATTGATAAGCAGTTGAATGCACAGTGTATAAAGTTGTCCCATGGACAGTGAACTAGGCCCAGAATTTAATATGAGGAAGACAGTGGGCTAGATTGGAAATTGCCTCAGGAAATGACCCCAGCCTTCTATGAGACAAAATTTTAAAACAAATTTTTAAATGTCAGTATTCTTTGGAATGCCACAGCTTCTAAAGGATTGAAATTCTTGGTTTTCAACAGGGCGACAGAGTTTTGTGGTGAATTTTTGTAGATGGAGGACAGTATTGGAATTTTTTGAGTGGATAAAAAGATAGGCCAGTTTTGGAGATGGCAAGATAACTGATGGCCCCCGGTGCCCCTCTGCATCTGCGTGATGTCAGGAGATTTAGAGGGAGAGCCCTAGCCCCTTGGGCCTTTTTTGGTAAACTTGAGAGGGAATGTAGGAGTTCCTTAGGTAGGGCAGGCATGGATCCACTGTGACCTGCAGTATCTAGAAGTGAACAAGTGGATGAGACCAAAGTTGACTTCAGAATACTAAGATGACCAAAGTGGGAGCCTGGGCAAGGTGTGAAGAAACAGCAGTGAAACACTGTGTTTTAGGTTGAATTTTTTTAGTGCACTGGTACATTCAAATTTTAAGCTGTCAATTGCTGATCATCTAATTGAGAGTTGGGGAACCTGAATTAGGGACCTTGAGACCCTTTTGTTAAGTGGGTTTGTTCTATGAAGTTTGGATTCAGTCAAAGGGCTGCACCATATGTGACCTCAAGGCCGCAGGTTCCCCACCCCGATCTAGTTATTGGGTTGTTTATGCAAAGGAGAAAATCTTTTACCTTTTCAACTCAAACTCAGCATCCTCTAGAGGACATTTTTCCTATAGTGATTTTTAAAAAAAATTTAAAGTTTTTTTCAGGTAACAAGCCATTTTAAAATAAATCTGTTCCTCCCACTTTCTCCCTTCCACCCATTAAGCAAATTGTTTGTTTGTTTTGTTTTTAGGCAATTGGGCTTAAGTGACTTGCCCAGGGTCACACAGCTAGTAAGTGTCAAGTGTTTGATCTGAGGCCAGATTTGAACTCAGGTCCTCCTAACTTCAGGGCCAGTGCTCTCTCCACTGCGCCACCTAGCTGCCCCCCATTAAGCAAATTGAAAACAAAAAGTGAAACAAAACCCTCCTGACGTTGCTCCAGAGTCCAGTAAAACAGTTCCCACTTTAGCCATGATCAGAGGCTTCCTTTCCCTCTGTCTTGTCTCCTGTTTCTGCTCACAGCTTTTTTGGTTCCCTCTGGTGCCTCTTGGTTGATCTTTGTGCTCCCTGACAAGTTGACCTGCACACAGCACTGAATTTTCACAAATGATCAGCATTTGGATGATAGCTTGAGATTGGTGACGTGCAGATTGTCAGATGCCTCAGAGTTCCTGATATTGAGAGTCAGTGTCTAGAATTTTTCCACCGGCATTTCAATACAAGATTTTAAACAGTTCTGTAGTCTTTAGATTGATTTGATCCTGCTAAAATCTTGATTTTGTAGATAGACCAGCTGATTTCAGATTTTCTGTGTATTGATTGGCCTCCTGACAGATGATAGAAAGTTGTTTTTATAGGATGGTGGTAGACTCTATCACTGTCAGAGACTTTTCGCTGACCACCAGTTTGTGCATGAAACTCATGCTGGGCCCTACAGAGAGCAAGTTATGGAGATGTAATCCTTGCTGTCTAGGAGCTTATGATATAGTGATACATGGCTCATATTTTATTAATTGAGAATATATATTCTTCTTTAAAATAGGCCCAATAAACTGTTAATACCTTAGGCTTCAGTCTTCCATTATCTGTGATTTTGTGAATATGTGTATGCCTTTCACAGATGCAGATTTCAGAGCCTCTTTGATTTTGTAGATTGGTCTTTGAGAATTGCCGTAACTGAAAAATTAATCACTTTGTGTTGTGAGGATGGTTTTAGGATAACTATACAAGGCAGTTTGCTATGAGATCCAGACTGATGATCTTTACAGTTGGATTTGGACTTGCCAGACCTGTGCTCCACTGACCTAGCTAAAGGGAATCCAGAGTCGTCTCCACACAGTGACAAAAGTTGCAGTGGGAGATTATTGGCAGTTAACATCTGTAATTTATCACAAAAGTCTTTCCTGGGTTGCATAGTATATGTGATTTCAAGATACATTGAACAGGTATAGACGTTGGCATCTCTCATATAACCTCTATCTTACTCCTTTTTCCCTCTTCTTTCCCTGTCTCTGGCCCCCAGCTCTCTCTTTCCAGATGTGGTGAATTGTATGCAGACGGATAACCTGGAGCTAAAGAAGCTTGTGTATCTGTATCTGATGAACTACGCCAAGAGCCAGCCAGATATGGCCATCATGGCTGTCAACAGCTTTGTGAAGGTAGCTTTCCTAGCAGTCTCCTTGCCACGTGTCTTCTGGTTTGGTCGGTGTCTGTACTGAGGACACGTAAGTGCTCTGTGTGCTGAAAGATTCTACACAACTCAGAACCTCACAGAGTAGTACCAGGAATGGCTGGGAGAATGGCTTAGACATTGTTTAGAAGCCCTGATTTCAGGGGACCTCAAGCCACAGGCCTGTCTCTTGCTGGGTGCAAAGGAGCGTGGCAGCTGAGTCATTTCATCATGCTTGGCTGCTGAACGGTCAGTGTGACTCCTCCCCCTTAGTGCCAGAGAAGCTAATGAATAAGGCAAATGCATATAGCCTGCATTTTAGAAAAGCAGGTAACTGATTCCCCACAAATTAACTGAGGTAATTCTACAGACCTTCTGGAAGGTGAAAACCAGGATGCAGAATTCCTTCCGTCCTTCTTTCACTTGCTTTCCCATGTGCCTGTACATGTGGAAGCAGTAGGGGTTAGGTGTACAGACTAGTAATATATAAAGAAACTTCTCTTGGTAGTGGAGAGAGAAGGGGAGGATAGTATTTCTAAGTCATTGTTACTGCCACATTGGTAACATATAATTAACAAAAGAACCAGCTCCTAAGCAATTAAATAGGCAGGGAGAACCTACTGTGTGCAACAGTGGAGGCGGGGTTTGGATTCTGACTTTAAGCATGCTCTTCAGGGTAGCTGTCATTGGGGGCCTCTGACCGAGGGAGACTGGTTTTCTTGTGTGGCTCGTGGAAGCCATCCTCATTATGTGATGGCCACAATATATACACTTACGCTTTTTCTTGTAGGACTGTGAAGACCCTAACCCATTAATCCGGGCCCTGGCAGTCAGGACTATGGGATGTATTCGAGTAGACAAGATCACGGAGTATCTGTGTGAGCCACTTCGCAAGTGTTTGAAAGATGAAGATCCTTATGTCCGAAAGACTGCAGCAGTCTGTGTGGCCAAGCTGCATGACATCAATGCCCAGATGGTGGAGGATCAAGGCTTCTTGGATTCTCTTCGGGATCTCATTGCAGACTCAAATCCCATGGTAATATACCCCTACTGTTATGAAGGATACATTATTGAAAATGGGTTTCTTTTCAAGATTCATTGTATTCAGTTGGCCCTAAGTGAAATCAGCTCTCTTGTCTTTAGAGTATTATATAAGACCTAATTTTGAAACATATGATCTCTGAATACTTGGATTACTGCTGAGAGGTGGGAGTGGTATTCATCCCTGCTGACAAATAAGACTTATAGCAAATAGGCTTAGGATGGACCTTTGTTTCTGTCCCCTTCCTCTGTATTTGCTCAGAAGGAAGGTAAAAATTTTCATAATTCTCTTCAACATATTGTACCCTTTGCCATTTGTCAAATGGTTTTTCAGAAATTACCCAAGTAAATGACACTAATAAGGTTTTAGCTGATGGAGATAATTGGATCAGAGCAATCTTTATTTTCTAATTATTTCCATAGATTTGTCCAGGGGCCCTCTGGGGCCTGCTTCCTTTTAGTTGCTGATGTTAAGATTAAGAGGTGTTTAGCAGTCGGATTATATGAGCTCCTGAGATATTTTACTTACCTCTTGGGGTTTTTTATTTCTGTTGCTATGACTTTAATCCCCTCCACATTTGCCTGTGTTAGGAAAAGGGAAAAAATCCTGAGGGATCCACCTTGACTATTCCAGTAACTGTGAAGGTCATTTTGATTGGGTGATTTGAATGGGAAGAACATGGCTGCTTTCTTTGGATAAGGCTTTTGATGAATTCTTAACCTTGCAACTTGGGATAAATGACAATAACATTTAAAGGTTAACCTTTCTCGGTATCTCTGTGTTGAATTTTTCAAAAGCAATTTCAGATTTGAGTTGTGTGAATGATACGGTGAACTCCCTACTCTTTCTTCTAAGTGCTCTGAAATCCATTGCACTCCATCCATTGCACAGTGACTGTCAGGGAAAGGTACTCCCTGGGCAATTTGACCTGAACTAGATAACCATCTGTTTAATTCTCAATAAATGATTCAAACATCTGATTTTAGGTTTCACACTTAGTTCATGTAATTCTCAGGTTGTCTAGGCTATGATAAGCTGTTACATTTTAAGTTTCAAGATTAGAGCATAGAGCACTTTAAATTCTTCTTCATTGATTTCTACTTCCTCAACTGATTTTTAACAGGTTATTGTGTTATGACATAGCATTAACGCTTTCACTTTAACTGTTTCTTTCCCCCCGGGCATGTGGAACGTAGGTGGGTTTAATTGTGATGTTAAGATTTCATTCTATAATGAAGTTTAGGCAGCATAGTCTATTGGAGAGACCACTGAGATGGGACTGAGCTCCATTTCTGAGACTGTCACTGGTTTCCTGTGTGACTATGGGCAGATTTGTTTACCAAAGTCTAGCCATCTTTTGAAATGCAGGGGGTAATTCTCTTGTCTCCCTCAGGGTATTTTCTTTTTCTTTTCTTTATTTTTAACATTAATTTAAGAAAAAATTTTAAGTTCCATATTCTCTCCTCTTATACCCACTGAGAAGGCAAATAACATGATATCAGTTATACGTGTGAGGTGATGCTAAATATATTTCCAGATTAGCTATGTTGCCCATAAAAAGCAAAAAACAGAAAGAAAGTGAAAAAAGTGTGCTTCAGTCTGCACTTAGTTCTTCAGATCTCTCCAGAGGTTAATAGCATTTTTGATCATGGGTTTTTTGGAATTGTCTTCAATCATTGTATTGATCAGAGTAGCTAAATCTTTAACTCAAGATATTTACAATGGAAAAATTGAGACCAATTGGTGCATCCTCTCTCTTCTCAGCCCCAGCAGCATTCCCCACTCTCTTCCTTCACACCGGTCCCTGAAGAAACGTACCATTGATCACATCCCCTCCTTTCTTTCTTCAGCATATTGTCCCCACCATCCTCCCTCTTCTCTCTTCCATCTTCAATTTCCCCAAAAACTGGTGTCTTTCCTACTTTCTAAGCCTCCCTCATTCTTAAAAAACCCACACTTGATTTTACTATCTCTCCTACCTGTTGTCCTGTAGCTATTGTCCTCAATCTCTGCTGCACCTTCTCAGTTAAACTACGTGAAAAGCTGTCTACATTCAGTGCCCCCACTTATCCCTTCACTCTCTTCTAACCTTTTTGCAGCCTGGCTCCCAACCTTATCCTTCAAAGTTACCAGTGATCTCTTGCTTTACAAATCTAATAGCCTTTTCTTAGACCTATGATCCTATTTTGTTTTAGACTGATATTTTTCCTCTAAATTTTGTCAATTTCCAAGTAAAGGATAAAGTTGGAGAGTTATATTCTTGAAATGTACTGTAGTGCAACAGTGATAGAAAGTCAAATTTAATTTGCCTAGAGAAACTAAAATCTGTCATTGTGAATTTTTTTAACAGAACTGATGACAGATAAATTTTTTAGCTTTTTTTGATTTAAAAAAATTATTTATTTTTAGTTTTCAACATTCACTTCCATAAGCTTTTGAGTTTTAAATTTTCTCCCCCTCCCTTCCCACCTCCCTCACCAAGATGGTGTACAGTCTTATATAGGCTGTATATATACATTCCTATTAAACATTTTCACGTTAGTTATGTTGTAAAGGAAAATTAGAACCAATAGGAGGAACCACAAGAAAGAAAAAACAAAACAAAACAGAAGGAAAAAAAAGAACAAATAGTATGTGTCGATCTGCATTCAAACTCCATAGTTCTTTCTCTGAATGTGGATGATATTTTCCATTATGAGACTTTTGGAGATGTCTTAGCTCCTTGCATTGCTGAGAAGAACCAAGTCTGTCAAAGTTAGTCATTGCACAGTGTGGCTGTTACTGTGTACAGTGTTCTCCTGGTTCTGCTCACTTCACTCAGCATCAGGCCATACAAGTCTTTCCAGGTTTTTCTGAGTCTGCCTGCTCATCATTTCTTACAGCACAATAGTATTCCATTACAATCCTATACCACAACTTGTTCAGCCATTCCCCAGTTGATGGGCATGCTCTCAATTTCCAATTCTTTGTCACCACATATAGAGCTGCTATAAATATTTTTGTACATATGGGTCCTTTTCCCATTTTTATGATCTCTTTGGGGTACAGCCTTGGAACTGCTATTGCTGGGTCAAAAGGGTATGCACATTTTTGTAGGCCTTTGGGCATAGTTCCAAATTGCTCTCCAGAATGGTTGGATCAATTCACAACTCCACCAACAGTGTATTAATGTTCCAATTTTCCCACATCTTCTCCAACATTTATCATTTTTCTGTTTTTGATAACAGATAAATTTAATCAACTATAATCAATATATCTCCATGATGTAAAACTTTCCAAAGTTTACTCGGATTTCTGTTCCCCTCAGTGTGGATACAGATCACTGTCTGTCCATCTCTTCCCATTATGTGCTACTCTAGTCTGTGTCCTTCCATAATTTGCCACAAGTGAGGGCATCCGTGTAGGCTGAAATCCTGTACCCTGAAGATGCTAGAGGAGCACTCAGACAGTCCACTTGTTAGCCCTCACACTTACCATGTGACCATTTTCTTTACTACATTTACCCCGGAGACATCTTTTACTACTGTTCTTTGATGTTCTCTTTTGGTTAAATGTTTTAGCTTAATCATTCCCTCCATGCACCTCTCTATTGTCCGCTATGTGAAATTTATTTCCATTCTTGGGAGATTATCGTATCTCTTTTCTCAGAACTCTAAAACAAAACCAATAGAAGACGAATATAAAAAAGATGGGCCTTTGTTTCCAGGAGAAACCTGGTATCTTTAGAGGAGCTTTGCAGTTTTCTTCATACAGTCTGGCCTGCTTTTCTCCTCTTGCTTAGCTCTGGACCCAGTTTCTGGTTCACTTGTACTGTCCGTCCCAGATATGCATATTGGTGGACCAGTTCTATGTAGGTTACCTATCTAGCAGCATATGTTATGACCTGGACAATAACATTCTTCATCTATTTGGTCTTTCCCATGTGGAAGGTCAGGCTCTTGATTGGTTACAGATTTCTTTCAGGAGGGTTTAATCTTCCAGGGCTTGATGACCCAGAACAATGTTTGCAAATGAGAGCATGTGGAGGACTTTGCCATTGACGTGATAAAAGGTATTTTTCTTAAGCTTGGATGGTGAGCAGGATTTCCTCCATCACGGTGGTGAACACCATTGGCTAGCATAATGTATCCTGGCTTTATGCTTCACGTGATGTTTATAATCAGAGGGTCATTGAGTAAGGTTTTGTTTTTTCTATGGCTATATCTTTCAAGGAATCTTTAATGGTTTTGATATTTGGATAGGAGATCCTTAAAAAAAAGCCCTTAAGTTAACATTTTGTTCTACCAAATCAAATGCCTTTTCATAATCAACAAATGGAAAGTACAATGGGATCTTGTATACTTTACACCGTTTAGTCGTTCATGAGAGGATAAGGGGTGGAGTCTTTTGTAGAATATCACTTGCAAAGCCTGAATATTCCCAACTCGTACTCTCATTATGGATGTCCCCCATTCATGTGTGGTTGTTGAGTTGGTTGTTTTTTTTTTTTCAGTTGTGTCCAGTTCTTTGTGACCCTGTTTGGGGTTTTCTTGGTGAAGATACTGGAGTGGTTTGCCATTTCCTTCTCTAGCTCATTTAATAGATGAGGAACTGAGGCAAATAGGGTTAAGGGACTTGCCCAGGGTCACACAGCTAGTGAGTATCTGAGGCCAGATTTGAAGCCACAAAGAGGAATCTTACTGACTCCAAGCCCAGCACTCTGTCCACTGTGCCACCTAGCTGCCCGCGTGTGGATGAGTCTCTTAAAGATTTTGGACAGGTAGAAAGCATATATCAGTAAGGTACAAGATTTCTTTCCACATCTTTAATATCTTTCCCTGTTTTTGATACCTTGTAAAGCTATCCCTTAATGTTCTCAAAGTTGTTTTGCCTCCAGTATGACTTTCTTACAGAGACAGACAGACAGACAGACACACACACACACACACACACACACACACACACACACATATCAACCCAGCTGCTTTTCCTGGTTTTGTTCCCTTTAGTCTCAT